CAACAACAACAACAACAGTAGTAGCAACAGCAACAACAACAGCAACAGAAAATAAAAGCAACAGTGGATAGATGAATAGATGATTTATAAAAACAGCCAAATGCTGAATAGCGTAATATACAAAAACTAGTAACTCGTACTATACTTATGATCTTAAACGTTTCGATTTTTTAGACTCGAGCTCAAAACGCAACAACAAGAAGCTGCGCGAAAACTGGAAGAAGCCAGGTAAGCAAAACTTCCCTCATTGAAGTCAAGTTAGTTTTAATCAGTTTAGCCATTTGCTTGTTGCAATTTCGCCTTATTTCTGATAAGAGTTTTAGAGAAAGCAAAAACCCGTAGAGTAAGAGGATACTCAATGATAAAGATTTGATGATTTATAATTCATATAGCGCCCTTTCTATATGGATAATCAAAGGTGCTTTACATTGAGTTGTGAATGACAGATTGAATGACAGATTGCTTTTTATTCAATTTACAATCATGAGATAGTTAGTATGAAGTGTAGGCACTGACGGTGGTCACTGCCAGGGTTTCTTTACGTCCTCAGTGGTTCTTTTGCATCCCTCAACTAGAAACTAAACGACGCCAAATTTTGATATGAGATCAAAAATTCAAAAAAACAACAGAATATTTCTGTTTATAACCGATTTTTTTTATCCAGGCAAGAATTGGAGTTCCTGAAAGAACAACACGAAAAGGCAGCAGAATCAAGAACTGTTGAAGAGAAAGAGCGCCAACGGCAAATTAGAGAAAACCAGATTCAATTGGAAAAACAAAAGAAGTACTTAGAAGAATTAAGAGTTGAACAGGAGCAAGCGAGACAGCGCGCTGAAGTTGAAATACAAGAAGTGAAAGAGAGAATCAAAAGAGAACAAGATGAAGAGAGAAAGCGCTTGGAGGCTGAGATGCAACGTCTTCTAGCTTTAGAAGAACAGCATCGTAAAACTGTGTTGGCGAAAGAAATAGAAATGAATAAGATGAAAGAAGACTTGGAGAAAAAGTGGGGTGAAGAGCGAAGGCATGTTGAGCTCCAACGACAACAAGTAAAGGCGCTACAAGAAGAAATTGATGTTAAACGGAAAGAAGTTGAACAGGTTGAGATGCAGATGAAGTTGAGTGCAGATCTTGGAAGGGTGTCCCCTGGAAGAGTGTCCCCTGGAAGGGTGTCTCCAAGGAGACGCCATAGTAACGAGGAAGAGGAGGAAGAAGAGGAGGAGATATCCGAAGGCGCTAATGCTAAAGCTGTTAATAAGTCCCGTATGGAGGCACTACGTGCACAACTGAGGCAACTGGAGGCCGACTACGAAGACCAACGCAAAATCGCGCAGAAAGAAATAACCGAAGCTAAAGATGAAGTACACAAGGCTGAACAAGAGGCGTTGAAAGGACTACGGAGTCTGACTACGGAGAAATCAGCCATTGAACTGCAATGGAGGGTTCTGGAAGAAGTACAAGAGAAGCATAAACGAATCCAGGAACAACAGATCGAAAAGATGCGAGACTTGAGGGAAATATTGGAACATGTTGAAGAAGCTGAGGAAGCACACTTGATTGAGAAGGAGAAAGCTATCATGGAGAGAAGAGCTGTGAGACATAAGTTAGAAGAAGCGAGAAGAAAGCAAGAAGAGCGTGAGCATGAAGACAAGAATGTTGATCTTACCGAAGAAGATTTTACCAAGAGAAAAGAGCTTCTCGAGTGGGAAACTAGAGAGGAAATAAAAGATATTCGTGAAGAAAGAAAGATCTTATCCGAGCTTTATTCAAAGCACCAAACTGCTCTTCAGAAAGCAACGCAAATGGTCACAGAGACCAAGACAAAACTGGAAAAACACCTTGATAACGAAAAGTTAGTTCTGGTACCTATGAGAGCTAAGGTGGAGAATCTTGTCCGTAACGAACTTGGACCACTGATTGAAGCTGAACAGGAGATAGAAAGACGATGTGAAGATGTTGACTTCGAGAGCCGTGATAGAAAGAAACTCATTTATAGACAAAGGAAGAGAATAGCGCTGTTAGAACGACAGCATCAACAAGCTTTGCAGCAGGCTGAGAAAGAAACACTGAACGAGGAAGAGTTAGAAGAACTGGAGAACGAAAGAGAAGCAGARCAAAGCTTGATTCGTAAAGAAAAGGTACGTCTCCTTGAACTGGAGAAAAAACACAAGGAGCAACAGGAGCTAGCAGAACTAACCATCGGTGAAGCTGTACAAGAGCTTGAGAAGAGAAAAGCACAGGTCAACCAGAACTTGGAAAACGAGAGAAAAAAGTTGGCAGAATATGAGTTGGTTCATAAGGAGACACTCGAACACGTCGAGACGGAACTGGAAGGAAGAACAGAGATGCTTCATCGAGTACGAGATAAGATACAAAAAGATAAACGACAACTTGCTAAACTAGATGTCAGACAGCAACGATGTGCTGCCAAAGCTGCCGAGGAACTTTTCCTCATGGCTGACCTGCTTGAGAAAGAGATGACAGACAAAGGAAAGAGTGACGAGTTGGCGAAGATCAAAGAACACAGAAAAAAGTTGCATGAACTGGATAGGCAGCTGAGGATGACAGAGCGCAGAGAAAAGGGAGGAAAAGAAGACGATCAAAATCCCTGTACGTTGTACTGACTTCTGCTCACCATGGCAATGATTGACAGGCGGTACATTATGGTTTGTATTTTGTACCTTGTTGCTATGGTTACGTTAGTGACTGTGGTCAAGTTGGTGGTTTGTTCATTTGTCTTGTTTTTGTTGGCATGTTTTTGTGTGTCTTTTCTTCTTGTTTCTCTTGTCTTCTACGTATTTATTTGGTGTGTTGTGTACTCCTTGTATGCTGTTATTCTCTTTACATTTCCATCTTTCTTTCTTTGCTCTTTATTCGTACTCTTTTTCATGCCAAGCAGTAAACAGTCCTTAAAGCAAGTTACTCTTCTGCGTGTGAAGGTTTCAAGTCGAGGTGCAAAAATCTGATGTAGTTTCTCCTCGGATTCTTGACTTGAGCTTTAGTTCTCAAACTGTATGCCTGAAATATCTGAAAAGTCATTCCTATGTTGAAGTTGGAAGAAATCGTGTGTGATCTGTCTGATGTAATGAAGTGAAGCCCTAAAAAAAACATAAAACCCTGTGTTATTTCATGTTTTGTTGTCAGAACTGATATTTTAAAGCAAAAGCACCAGATGTCGTGACTCGCAAATGGCTTCCTCATTGGTTGGCATTTATGATATGGTCTCTGATTGGTTCATTGATTGATTGGAAGCCATTTGATAGTCGCATCACAGCTGATCTGATTTAATCGTAGTATATCATTAATGTTAATGTACAAGCAACCACTTGTTGAATAGATTTGCCTGTCGCTTTTATTCATATATCACAGTCACTAAATTAATTATACCCGTGCAATACTAATGTATATAGCACACCTAAGTATTGCCATGGGTAAGGGTTGATTTATTATGAATTATTAGACGTTATTTAAGAGTGTGAGACTTTATTTAGGAGTTAGTTATTTCAAAATTAGGATTGAAACTACAAATAATATTCGTCAATGGATGAAAACTGAGAACTAGTTTTCAATCCTAAATTTAGTTTCTTAGCCATAAGAGGATCAAGAGGAGAAGTTTGGGGACTAGTTTCCAATCCTCTTTGTTACTACGTGTATTGCAAAAGCATTACTAGACTTTGTCGTTTCTATTCTTACTCTATTGAATGCAACCAGTGAACCTCCAGAAAAGTGAGTTGATTGAGGTATTTATTATCCTAAGTTGTCTCACAATGGTTTAAAATATATTAACAATGTAGAATTATTTAAAGTTGTGGTTATAATAATAGTGATACAGTTGACCAGCACCAAACGACAGGGGTGCAATAGATACTTGTCTGTTATAAGCTAAACTAAAATAGTGTGTAGTTAAAAATGTGATCGAAGACATTAGCCTTGAGTTTCAAGAAAGAACTTCAAATTTAGCACTTAAGTGCATCCTCTTAAGAATGAGGTACCACAGGATTAAATGGTAAGGAAAAAGGAAGGAAGAAGTGGATGATGAAGTGGTTTGCAATCATTCCTCAGAAAATAACTGATATGGTTCAAAGCCATGACAGCCACGTTGAATGCGATGTTTAGTCAAAGAGAGATCTTCCAACAGTGCTGTAACATTTATTTACTCAGGAATGATTGGTTAATGTATGTTCAGACAACAAATGATAAATGAATGATTGAGAAATGATTTGAGAAGGATATTTCAGATTTGGGATGGGAAGGGTTGAACAAGTACTTGATGTTCATGCTGCAAATAAAACTCCATTTTACAGTCCCGTCAATGACTATGAATAATATTTCCAAGCTGAGGCTGGAGTTGCCGGGCATAATAAACTATAGTTTTGCTATGCGCAGAAACTCCAACCTCGACTTGGAACTATTATTCATGGTCACTGAACGAAACCGTCAAAAGGAGTATTGAATCATTAATACATTTCTTAATTTGATTATTGAAAATATTAATTTAACATTAATTGATAATAATTTGAATAATGGCAAACCACAATTGTATATTGAACAAATACCTTAGGAAAGGCTTGCTGCAACCTTAAATTTATTTTCAAAAATGCAACATTTGAGATATGAATGTTCTAATACCAGGGGTGGGGGAAAACAATGATTATAATTGACGATTAGCAATCCTGTGTTGTCCAAGCAAAAAAATGGACATAAACATGGGTGTCCAAAATGGTTAGCTTTCTTTGGGATGTATGATAACCCTATGTAGTGATTCATCAAAACATTATATTATGGGATATCCATTAATGTAAATAAAGCAAAGCTTGGAATGACAAAAATATTCTTTACGTTTTTGATTGAAATGTGTGTTTCAAACTCCGTGGAATGTATGGAATGGACTAAAGGAGTTTGGGATGGAAATTCTTTTAGTTATGACAAATTATTAGTATTTTTCTTTATTTCTGCTATTCCTATAAAAAAATGTTAATATTATAATAATTTCTGACTCACAGTATCTATTAGAATTGTCATGTCAACTATTTGCGGAATGCTTTGTTGATTTTAAATTTGTGCCCAGGGCGTTTCATAATTTCCAAAAACGGTAAAGAAAGGCGAAGTTCCTGGTCACAAGAATTTTTTATTTATTTCCATGGCAATGTTAAAGTTCTTTAAAGAAAGCGTATTTATAAAGAGTCAGAATGTTGTTTTGATATGGGGATATAGCCCGGGATATATAATAACAGTTGATATTGTAGCCCTACTACTAGCTTGGACCATTTAACATCATTACAATCGATAACTTGCGCTTGTTAAGTCTAGTCTAGGTATGAGCTTTTAAGTATGACGTCATTTGGGTGTAAAATGGTTTATGTGACGTCATTGTTACGTTAGAGTGACGTCATTTGGGTCGAAAATAGTCTGGTTATTTCCAAAACAACTTGGCGCCTAGAAATATTTTGTTGATACATCTAATTATTCTAGGGGAAAAAATGCGCTTTGACTGGATGTACGTCATACCTTGAAAGCTCTTCCTGCTAATAAGTCAATAATGATGACTATTATAGATATTTGTTTGGTTGGATCTAGGATCGGGTGTCGGGGGAGGGGGTGGGGGGTGGTGGCTAACTAGTCGTGTATACTTGTAATAATACTATAGTCAATAATGATGACTATTATAAATATTTGTTTGGTTGGATCTAGGATCGGGTGTCGGGGGAGGGGGTGGGGGGTGGTAGCTTACTAGTCGCGTATACTTGTAATAATACTAAAGGGAATGAGTTGATTATTTGAGTAGCTCTTTAGTTCACCCTAGTGGTCCTGTATCCAGCCCAACAACTATCAACATTGTAGACAATCTTTTGCTGATACCAACTGTCTGAACAATATTTCTGGTATAATGTTAAATGATCAACATGCAACAAATAAACCATACTCTTGGTGATGGAAAAACTTGTTATTTACTCAGGTTAAAGACGTTAGATGAGACGCGGTGTAAGAAATAGGAGCCTTTTCCCACTTTCCATTCGTCTTGTTTTCCTTCCCTCCCTCGTCTCAAGGGATAACTCCCATTTGCGCACTCCAAAAAAGCCGGGATTTGTACACGACCTTATTTCATCTGTCTAGGCAGTGACTGGAGTTGCTACTACAAGCCAGAACTTTGCAACAGATAAAAAGGCTGAGGACGCCACTGGGCGCATGCCATTTGTCATCCAATCTTTTCTGTTGGAGGTAAGAACGTATGTGTAATGAAGTCTGGCTTTTTGCCCAGGACCTGGTTGTACGGAGGGCGCGTAACGCTATCCGACGGATAAAAAATAGGTGTCTAGAAGATGATGTTACAGAGTCAAATACGCCTGGTACCTGAGGTCCATGGACATCTAACGATGGCCTTTGCTATTACCACACGTCAAATACAAAGTAGCAGGAATGTACTCGTACACCTTTAAAATGTTCGTTTTATTATATCGATATTATTACGAAAATTAACAGGTTTTCGTACCTGGAATATTGTGATATCGATGTCATAATTCCTAACTTAAATATTTGGATACATAAAAGCTAGATGCAGAGTGACCCAATGTTAGCAGTAGCGAAAGCCGTGAAATGACATTGTCGTGATACAATTCTCAAATTATTTATTAATTTGTACGTCAATTATAATTACAAACTACCTCTCAATACTATAAAACAAGTTTGGATTATTTTGTCAATTTTATTAAACCTTATATGGTAATCGGGTTTACTTTCTTGTGATCTCAGTCAGTTGTCCTCAGTATTATCAATAATAGTTACTTCATTAATATCAGACGTACCAGACAGACATGTTGAAGTTCCTGGTAGCTTCTACTCTTCCTGGTCACTAACACCAGCAGTTTGTAGATTATCAGTACAGTTATTACTGGTACTAGATGTACCAGGCAGACATGTTAAAGTTTCTGGTAACTTCTCTTCTTCCTGGTCACTGACACCAGCAGTTTGTAGATTATCAGTAAAGTTATTGCTGGTACTAGATGTACAAGGCAGACATGTTGCAGTTCCTGGTAATTCCTCTTCTTCCTGGTCACACACACCTGTTCGTAAATTATCAGTACACTTATTATTGGTACCAGCCAGTTGTGTTGCAGTTCCCGATAATTCTTTGTCTTCCTGATCACTTACACCAGCAGTTTTTAGATTATCAGTATAGTTATTACTTGCATCAGACGTACCAGGTAAACATGTTACAGTTCTTGGTAATTCTTCATCTTCCTGATCAATTACATCAGCAGTCTGTAAAGCATCAGTATAAATATTGACGCTATCTGAATGGCTACTATCGTCATTGACTGACACTTCAGAAGCCACTTCAGTGCTGCTTGTACTTCCAGTCTTTTCTTGGCACATTTCTTCCTTGATTCGTTCCTCTAACTCCTCTGTATTCAGAGGCAAGGTAGTTTCATTAAGATGGTGTTCCTGACCTAGTTTTTCCTCAAGGTCATTTCCCATGAGAGAAACGGGCAACATCCCACCCTTGATACGGGTTTCATCTTTGTCTTCCCTGTTGCAGTTTTTATTTCCCCCGAGAGATGGAAAGGCCATATTTCCACTCATATCAAGGAAATCATAATATGACCAGTTAAACGCAAGGTCCACTTCCTTCTGTTCGTGTGAACTACCATCTGCACCTTCAACCTCGGTATCAACACTGGTAACTCTAGGAATGTATCCATCAATACCCGAATCATCATCATCATCTTCATCGATGCCATCGTCATCATCATCCTGGATAGAAGACTCCCCTAGTGCTTCATAAGCATGTGATCTTATTAACCGTGTCACCTCCTCAGACTCCTCCCTGTTGTAGCTTTGTGGTGACGCCAGAGACCTCGATTTTGAAGGCAATACATCAAGGTTAGCCTTTTCGTCATCAGTCCTTGTCCTGTTGTCCAAGACTATACTTCTTCCCTTAAAAAAAGAGAAAATTTGAAGTCTGTAGGATTTGACTTTCGTTAAAGGATTTCCATCGACAGACAAATACCTCATCTGAGACATACCGCACAGACAACAAATTTCCTTTAAACTAACAATCTGATTTCTTGCTATGTTCAGTTCAATGAGACCAAGAAGACTCTCAACGCCTTTCAACGTCTGTAGGTTATTATTCTCCAAAACTAAAGACTTCAGATTCTCTAAACTTTTTGGACTCCCTGAGATAAAATGGATAGAATTATTGGACAAATCCAAGTGAGTTAATGATGGACTGTTCAGTTGTAGAAGATCTAGACTAACAAAGTCATTGTAGCTTAAGTCTAAGCTCTGTAGCGAAGGCATTAGTTTCATAGACTCGTCAAACATAGTTATACTGTTGTGACTAAGAGTCAGGTTCGTTAGCTGGACCCAAGGTTGGATAATGACTCGATTCTGGGTTAGCTTTGCTGTAGCGTGACTCCGCCAAGACGCAACTGCACCTCCTGATGATGAAGCTTTTCTCTTCTCTACAACTCGATCAATCAGTAGTTCTTTCATTGTCTTCAGAGTCTGTTGAGCTGTAAGATATTTGAGCTGCGCTTGAAGGGACGATAGCCCCTTTACCAGACTAACAGGACAGCCATTTAGTTTTAAGCTTTTTAGGGCCTTAAATAACGATATATCAAACTCTAAGTGGCTGGCAAATTCTTGAGTATTTTTTGAACCTGATGCTGCACGTACACACAAGTCTTCCAAATGATAGACAAAACTATACAAATGACCAAGGTCCACAGGTGAATAGTCTTCTGATGTCTGTGTCGGTTCTGGTAGCTGCAGTTGCCGAGTAATACAGTACATTTCCGTAACGTTAAATGTGTACGAACCATGCTCAGATAGTATCTTCTCTCCTTCTTCCAGAAGCTCTGTAGCAAGTGTCTTAATGACTGACATGACGTCATGTTTACCAACATCAAGAAACTCTAAAATCTCTTGCGAGCTCGAGACATAAGTAGAACTGTTAACAAGACGTTGAAGGTAGTGTTCTAAAGCATCTCTGCGTCTTTCTAAGTGCTTTAACGACATCTTAGAAGTGAGTTTCTTTGGCGGTAACATGTCTTTAGGAATGCCATACAAAGCGAYCAATTTCTTGTGCAAACTACTGAATTCTCGATATCTTTTCAAGACAAACCAGTGGTTTGACTTAGTCATGACATCTATCTTATATAAAGCATGTGGGGAAGGTAACTCCTTCTTCCATACTTCACGAATAACAACATGGGTTATTAGAGATTGTGCTGGTCCATGGCTACTTTCGACTGTCGAAGATCGTCGCTCCTTTCCCCAAAGGGTGCTCCCTGCTGGCGGCAACGAAGCTCTTAATGATGTCATACTCGTACTAGCTACAGTCTTCAGTTAATAGTCAACTGAGAATAACGAGATATAGACGTCTTTTACTTCTCATCGTTCCAACTTAATCGCTTGAAGACGGACGACTCGACTACACTTGTTTGGCCGCCATCTTGGATTCGTATAAGGCTTGGCTACAAAGCATCAATATAACTATAACTCAGATGATTAGCACGTGTATCATGACGTGTCAGTGTTGTCGTTAAACGAAAAAATTCTTTAAAAAGTTTAAGGCTCTAGAATATTCTTTTAAACTTTTGATGCATTAAAGTATAAAGTTTCTAGGCTAAAAAGAACAATCATCGTTCATCCATCCTTTATCCCTAAAATAAGTAGATTGCGAATGAGGCCTAAGAAATACCTCTGTATTCACTTAGTATTTACTTATTCTATATGGATAAACAGAGTGACCACAGTAAATCCGTGAAACTTTAGTAATACTAAATAGCTAATTTCATGCAAATTCCATTGTTTTCTATTGTTTAATTAGCACTATTTTGTACTATTTAGTAATTAGTGTTTCACGGATTAAATTGTTTGCACTCTACTATGTTTTTTTTGTGTGGTGCGATGTAGCCTGTGTAGGGGCGCTAGAGAGATTGGGGAAGGGGGGAGGGGGAAAGTGAGAGAGGGAGCTCCCTCCTCCTCCTTTCCTCTCTCCCCTAGAGCGCCGCTACACAGGCTAGGGGCGATGGCGCAGTGATTGGGTTGCTAATCAATTTGCTGTTTTTCCTTTTCTCCATTAACAGGGGTATGTATATTTTACTTAGAATCGTTAGAACTATCATAAATGAGTTGGTCAAGATTCTCTGATTCGATTTTTTTCTTTTTTCTTTTTTTTTATTTACATATCATTACAAAATAACAAACAAGGAATAAATCAAAGAATACTAAATACTTAGAAATGTGGACGTTTTATCAAAAAAAAAATTCATACATCTATAAAAACCAAAGCTGTCCCGTAACAATCATTTATTTTCTACAAGAATATTAACATTTTTGGAGTGATGCTGATAATCTTTACAAGGCTATACAGTGTTGTATTGTCATGAGGTGAGACCAGACATTCCTCTTGCTTCTGCCATGGTTTGTTCTTGGAGATTTTTCATCAACTGGCTCAACCATCTCTTGGTTGAAGCGTCATCTTTTAAACAGTTTGAAAATGTTCCATCTTTTAGTTGGTCTGGAAGGCACTGACGAAGAGCTTCACGTGCCCTGAGAACAAAATATTCACACACTTACAAAAAACCTTGAAGTAGCCTTTGTGTTGACCTTACCCTAGGCATGGCTGTTGCACAAATGTAATTGGATTTTGGCAGGAGAAAAAAGCCAAAAACCTTTGATCTAAGGAAGAAACCCAGTAATGCAGAGTTGAACAATTTAACCCAGAGTCGACGTAAAGCAAGTATGCCACCATTACCCCCCAACCCCCTTTTATTCCTGAATATTTACCTAAGGCAACAGCCCATACATGTATGTTAAATATAAATAATTTCTTGGAAACTAATGTACATACCTTGGATTATCAGATAACCTCAAGTAGCAACGTACTACATGCTTCAAGAGTCTAGCTGATTGATCCTTAGCTAATGCAAGCACCATTTTACCCTGGAATATAGAATAATATTACAATTGCTAAATTTGCTTTGAGTAGAGATCATTTGAGGCACTATGCAATAATTTCCCTTGCATATAAAAGGTTCACAATATTTCATTGATGAGTTGTATTATTACCAAGATCATTGCAACATGGGAAAATCTTTCATATGTCTGGCAGATGTATGACAAACCAGTCTCATCCAGGAGAATCTTTTGAAGAATGAAGGTGGCAACCTGATTAAAAAAAGTAATAATAATATATACAATTTTGAATAACCGAAGAAATATTACAACAATCATTGCAAACAATAATAATTAATTTAAAGCAGAAATGTATTGAGATTTTTTTTTTTAGACTTTTAACAATTTTTTTAAAAATATTATATTCTTTTATCCACCTGAAGTTAAAGATTTACTTACAGTTTTAGATAGTTCGCTTCCTGTTTCCATGATTCGGAGACACAATGGAATAATTTCAGTTGTCAACAAAAAGTTAATGACCTCCGTTTCATCAGTCTAAACCAAAAAAATCAGATAATATATTTATTATATGAGAATTCCATATGCTAATTATAAAGAGGCTACAAAGTTGACTATATGAAAAGAAATTGTCCACGAGTTGCTGTCATTAAATAAACTGTATAGACATCAGTCTGTCCTTTCCTGAAGATGATACGAAACTTTATAGTGATATTCACTGCTTACAAACATTGAGGTCAGGAATCTTTTCTCATTCAAACTTGCCAACCATTAAAACAAGATCTCTTTGTTTGAGTAGCCAATAAAACTCTGGTTGGCACGTTAATATCACTAGGTGACGTCAGCATAAGCTTCACTATAGGCCGGATAAATCTTGAGGTGGAAGAAAGTACTGGGGCAAAAACTTAGATACTTCTCATAATGTGGTGAAGTAATGTTTAAAAGTTGTTCATACCTTGACTAATGCACCAACAACACCCAGGCTTGTAAGACGAAGATATTCAAATGGTCTGGTCTTGCTTGTAGTGTGAAGGAATGGATAAAGGAACAAGGGAATGTGTGCTATAAAAAAATTAAGATTCAAATAATAAATTCTAATGGGAAAATATTACTTCCCTTTATCCAATCACTTTTGTAATTTTTTTCTTTTTCTGAATTTCTTATAATACAGTAGAACCATAGAGGCTTTGCGCCATCATGTGATGGCTGCCTTGACAGGAAGCAGAACGACTGAATCTGTCTAATCTGATTTATATGAGTAAGAATTTATTTTCCCAGGGAAGAACTATCCTATCATTGTGCCTCCTGTCATGGCTGCTGTCTTGTGATGGTGCAAAGCCTCGATTCAGTGGCAACCTATTAAGTGGTCAACCTCCCTATACTCAGTGGCAACTTAAAAATTCCGAGAGGGTGCCCACTTAATAGAGGTTCTATTATAATTGTGATAATTATTAATATTTAACAAAACCTTGAAGGAATACAGATCTTGTGTCAGGATGGGATGCCACGCACTGAAGTAAAGCTAATGCATTACAAACACGATTTGATTGATGTGCCTGAAACAAACAAAATCCTCTAATTATACAAAAAATGTATTTAAAACTACACAAGTAATAGAATAGCTATAACAAACTATTTAGTGGATAGGATATGAGTTGTAAAAATACATTACTTACAGTGAGATTTGGGGGATTGATAACAGGATAAATTGAAACTATTTCTTGTAAAAGAGCGGCAATTGTTCCTGTAAAATTTAAATCAAAAATCCTTCAGCAGCAATACTCAATGTTTCTAAATAGGTGAGGATAGATGGTATAAGTTGGAAATTCAGGAAAGTCATAAATAAGTAAAGATTACACTCTCCCAACCCCTTAGGGTATCAGCTATACTCACCAAATGAGTGCCATAACATAGGAGCCAGGTCTGGTACTACCTCTCTCTTTTTACTGCAGAGCAATGAATATCGGGGTTAGGGTGTGTTTACCAAACATTTGAACAATTGTAGGGCTAAAGCTTATAGCTGCTCACGATGAGTTGCCAAATGAACTGATCAAAGTCATGTGACCAGTCAATGTGAACCAGTCAAGGGGACTGGCATAAGAGGCACTTTGGCCAGACATTGTCTATTGACGAGCAGTTACTTTGAGACCTTAATAGTCCACTTCCGAGATATGCTTTGCTTGTGCACAAAGCCTCACATTAAAACCCTTGTGCTTGACATGCGAAGCATATTTCGGAAGTGGGCTCTTGCATCATTTAATATAACTGTAGTGTCAGCAGTACTGATATTTTTCACACAAGTTACCTTAATTCTAATAAAGCATGTTCTCTCGTTTCAGGACTCGACAATTCTAATATCCAACTATAGATTTTTTCACGTTCTAATTCTGACAGTCCTGTTGTCTGAGATGCTGTTGGTATTGGATGTGGAAATCCTCTCTGTCGTCAAAACAAATGATAGAGAATACCTTTAAATATTGATTTTAGATTGATATACAGTATTTGGGTCACCATATATAAATCAAGGAGACCCGGGTCAAAGATATCTCCCTTGGCAAAAGAATCTTTTTGCTCAGGTTTTGATCAGATTTTTCTAGTCATATAAATGTCTTTTAATGATTTCAATATCATATATACTTCGCTACTAAAGCACTAAAGATGGTGATGACCCAGAGAAGACCCCAAATATAGAAGATGGTTCTAGTTTGGGAGGGGGGGAGGGGTGGTGATCTCGTTATTTATAGCTAGCTATTCACTAAATGCAATCATGAACTATGGCCAACCGATTCTATAGGTTTTATACCAAATAATAACAATCCAACAACATATTGCGAGACGTACTAATTCCTACTACTGCCTACGACTATTTTTAAGGAGGAATAGTCGTTTAAAGCTAAGAAAAGGAGGCCAAACTCAAGTATAAACGTCGTACATCAAAGTTGTTCAACAACCAACCAAAAAACTCCACAAAAACTCACCGGTTGTCCTAACTGATGCATCATATCCTTAGAACCTGAAAGAAATGGTACCTCAGGGGCAGCGTAAAGAGCCAGAGTTTGTTTTATGGGTGGAAAAGACTTAAAATATTCGAGTATTTCTAAGCACAAAATGGCTGACAAAGAAAAACCAAGGTGAAGAAAACGTGTTATTGTCACCAATATACGGTCGAGGGACTGGGTCGAGAGCCACGAAGACACAAAATCGAAAATAATTTTGAGATGAGCTGATATTTTAATCGTTTTTTWAAATTATTTTTTAAACTCTGTTAACGATGCAGGGGCTATGGAGCTTGATAGGAAAGATGGGCACTGCTGCCCAGAGCTTTCCGTACGAGATCGGTGAGAAAATAGAAAGTTCTGATAGTAAATGTCCATGGTCCATCCATCATGGCAAAAAAAAGGTGATTTGCTGTCTTTACTAGGGCTTTACTAACATGGTTGGTTTTCGCGATTATTCAGTCTATTTATTGCGATTAATTGTGGGTTTTTTTTGTACAGGCTACTGGGGATCCTGTGACTGTGTTTGCTTTAGACGTGAAGGCTTCTTCTGAGAATAAGGTAGATATCTATATTATTGCTTCACTAAGATTCAACTAACTTTTCAACGACTGAATGGCACATTGTCAACGTCATCTGATACCATAAACCAGCACCTCATCTAAATAATCTGTGATTCACATGATAACGATATATTATCTATGAAATATATGAAATTACGATTAATAGGAATTTCTTTAAATTTGCTGTGATAAGGATGCGGTTTTTGTTTATATTATTTTGTGGTGTTTAATGAAATAACTGGTTGTTACTCTAGTTTGTGATGCTATTTCTTTCAGGTTAAACTCGCTAAGTCCTCCTTAAAAAGACTTAAGACGTTAAGACACCCAAATGTAGTAACATATGTAGATAGTTTAGAGGTAAGAAATACTATTTTCAAATGGAAAGTTTGTAGAAAGCTATCAAGTGTGAAGGAGATTGATTGAGGAAATGATGATCACTTTGAGTAAGACTACTGATCACCCAATCAAAATGTTTGCCATGTTGTTATCATGCTCATAGTATATTCATCACCTCTCCTCAATGCGACCGAGTTCGAGTCCCACCAGGTTCAGTGTTGTATATGAGTAGAGTTGTTTGTTGGTTCTCTCCTGTGTTTCGAGGGTTTCCTGGGTTCTCTGGTTTTCCTCCCTCCACAAAAATCAACTCCTAAATTCCAATTCGATCATGTAATGAGGGCCACAGGTTTGTTAGCCACTGGCTATTAAGTGCTACCCTCGTGAAAAAAGGATGTTATGATTTTTCACATGTATATATCACAGGGCTTAAAATAATGGCAGATTTAAAATTCAAACTTGCCAAAATCTTTGCCTTGAATTGCCAGTCATTTTGAGCAGTAAGGTTGAGCCAGAAACAATATGTGAGAGCTAAGACTCATCTGGCTGGTCATCATGACCAGCGACTGACCAACCCTTATCTTAAACCCTGTATTAAGTATTCCCTATCCATAAATTAGTCAAACAATCAAATGGGAATTTGTGGAATGGGATACTGAATGTACCCCAAGAGTTTTAGGCCACTGACTCTATATTGTGGAAACCTAATACCACATTATGGTTTCTTTGTCTCTTCTCTTTAGACTGATACCCTTATCTACCTTGTAACTGAGCCTGTGGTCCCATTAGAGGTATATTTATCAAAAGACGAAGGTACAAAGTCTGATTTAGCCATCTCATGGGGAATTCATCAAATTGCTGTAAGTTTTGTTCTTATTACAACACAACTAATGACATAACGACTAGCTTGTTAGCAAAAATAATTACTGTTGTCTGTATCCATGGTAACTGGGTACCCAGGTCTGAAAATAACAGCTGGACATTTGACAATGGACAGAAATGATTCATGACAGTGACTTTTACCTCACTTGCTATAGCCCTGGCTTATCTTGTGGTGCTCCAAGTTCCTGAATGAGACATCAGATACTCACTTGATATTCTTGCTGTTTTTATATCAAAGGCTGGTCTCAGCTTCCTGATTAATGACTGCAATTTACAACATGGTAATGTATCCATGTCATCAGTGTATGTCGACATTGCCGGGGAATGGAAACTTGGTGGTGTAGAGTATGTGCAGCCCTTAGAGCCTCCACCTGGTGCTGAGGAAGCAAATGTTACCTTGTTACCAGCGCTGCAAGTATATGACCCCCCTGAAGGAAGAAAGTATACCAAGACTAATAAACGACTAAACAAATGGTAATAATATTATTAAATGAGGGCTTTAAAGTGTATAGCAATCCTTCAGAATGCAGCTCAATTTGGAGGACATAACGACAATTCGATTCCAATGGAGATTTTTTTATTGAAATCCAATGGTGAAAATCAATGGTGCTTTGGTTCCCTGTGTTCAGCAATACAGGGAGCCCAATTTTTGATTTTGTTCAAATTCATGGGTGGGTTTACTGTGTAGAGCCATGCCGTCACCATTGTCAAATCCCTGTGTTATGACTATGTTATACAGGTGGAATAACTCTAGCATATTTTGATGTATTTGTCTTGCAGGTCTGCAGACATGTGGGGCTTGGGTTGCTTAATATGGGAAATATTTAACGGCTCGTTATCAAGATCGGCATCATTGAAGTCCATTGGTAAGATTCCTAAGAGTTTGGTTCCACATTATGGAGAGCTGGTCAGTGCAAATCCCAAGATGAGACCAAACCCAACCAAGTTTATAGAAAACTGTCGTTCACAAGGACATTATTTGAAGAATGATTTTGTTGATGCTAATCTGTTTCTTAGGGAACTGCAGGTATGAATCTTTAGAGGTGGCTTGTTGTTATGATAGAGACCTTTAGCATGACATTCTTGTTAGGTACCGCAAACCTCAAACTGCAGTTCACGTCAGGCATTTCAACATTTAGCAAGGTGTTATAACGAAGTTTATGCTGGAAGAGCCGCCATATTAAAAAGGACGTTTGGTGTCATTGATGTCTACTCCCAGACTCTCTTGCACACTTTCTTTTGTTTCATTGATTAGAAAATTCCCAAAGCATCTTGGTAGTAGGAGTCAAATGACGCCATCGTTCAAACATCCTATTTCATTGATGCTAAGGGTTTCTCTGTGTTTCTGGGTGTGTTTCTGGGCCTGACCCCTAGCAGTTAGTGGTTAGGGTAATCCTGATGCTAAAGATCTCTAATATAACTACTCATCACCATCATCAGAAGTTTCAAAGGTTTTAACTGTATTCATGTCTATTATTAGTCCTTCGTCGGAGCAAAAGAGGAAACTAGTTACTACTAGTTGATGATGATGAAATTGTATTCCTAACATAAGATTGTTCTGCAAGTAGAGATTTTTTCTTGCCTTCATACTTATGTCCATACTTATCTTGCAGATAAAAGATCCAAAGGAACAAAAAGTCTTTTTCTCTTCACTTAGTTCTTCAGTGGACTCTTTCCCTGAGCCGTTCTGCAAACACAGAATTCTTCCTCAACTTATTAACGCTTTTGGATTTGGTGCCGCTGGATCTGCCGTACTCGGGCCTTTGTTTAAAGTAAGTAGGAACAATGTTTCATTCTTAGATCTTATTAACCGAGCGGGAGGTCTGTACGGGATAATCTCGCTGCGCTCGGTCTGTACATTCCGACCTCAGTCAAGATTATCCCGTACAGACCAACCAAGCTCGGTTGATAAGAGTTTTATTATATGACCACTTTTCATTGAAAAGGACAGTATGTTTTTGCCGTAAGAATAATATGCGATCGGACCAGTTAATACCGGAGAATCTAGACCAGTCTGCGATGCGATCTATCCAATCAGATTGCTCGATTTGCTAGTGTCCAGGCTCTAAGATTCACGGTCATATAATAAATTCATTTACTCCCTCATTCCATCTCTCCTTTTTTCCTTCATACATTTATTTATTTGGCTATATTTTGTAAATTGTTGTTCTCATTCACTCATATTTTATATATTTCATTCATTCTTTCTCATTTGTTACCCAAGCCATTGGTCATTCATTGTTTTGGTCATTTGTTCATTCATTCAGTCATTCAGTCACTCACATCTATTTACTTATTTTCATATTTATGTCATCATAATCTTAGGTAGGAAAGCTATTAGAAGCTGAAGAATACCAGATTAAGATTGTTCCTTGTGTTGTGAAGCTGTTTTCATCCACTGATAGAGCAACAAGAATTCAACTCTTACAACAGGTACAACGTTACCAAACAACACAAAACCTAAGGGTGTTTTTATTTAATACTACAAGTAATATGAACATTTCCCGTTCAATATTTTAAAAAGTTTTCTCTTTTATTTTTAGTTGGACCAGTTTGTTGAGCACCTTAAACCTCAGATCGTTGATGAACAAATCTTTCCTCACGTAGCTCTGGGTTTTGGAGACTCTGTACCAGCCATGAGGGAACAGACAGTAAAGGTGGGTTGCTTCCTTCCTTTCTCCTTTCCTTGCTTCCTTGCTTCCTTGCTTCCTTGCTTCCTTGCTTCCTTGCTTCCTTGCTTCCTTGCTTCCTTGCTTCCTTGCTTGCTTACTTCCTTGCTTACTTATTTAATTGTTGTGCAAACTGCAACGCAATGTCAAATCAAAGAAAAACTAATTTTTACTCCATTTAATTGATTTCTTTTCAATTTTACAGGCAATGCTTCTTTTAGCCTCAAAGCTTAGCGACAAAACAATCAATAACCTTCTTTTGAAACACTTCGCAAAGCTACAAATGGACCAAGAGGTAATACTTTGACATAAATTTTGCAATTTTTTATTGTTAACTCCTATATTTTTAATACTCCTATGTATTTTGTATTTTGTCAGGCAGGAATAAGAACAAACACCACTGTTTGTTTAGGGAAAATTGCTTGCCATCTCTCAGATGCGGTAAGTCCTTAGTCATACCTCACAACTGACTTGTCTGTACTTTGATATTTCTCAAGAGACTACCTGGTCTAACTATATACTGTAACTCGTAAAATAATTGTTGCTCAAGATCCTCTTGTATCGTTCATCAAAATTTCATTTGTTTCTGAGGTAATGGTGGGGTAGTAAGGGCAAAATTGTAGCACGTTTTGTTCAACGTTGTGATTCTTCAATTTGAAGAGCGAATATTGCTTGTTTTACAACACCGCGCACTACAAAGTGTCATGGTTGCACTAAGAAGGTCTCCCTACTCTTTACAGCAAAGAAAACAGGTTGAATGTGACTGTTATTTTATCCATCAGACCCGACAGAAAGTATTGGTCTCAGCATTTCTTCGTCCTCTTCGTGACCCGTTTCCTCCAGCTCGTACAGCCGGCATCATGGCTTTTTGTACCACCAACACATACTACAGCTTGAAAGACTGTGCTATGAAGATCCTCCCTGCGTTATGTTTACTGACAATGGACCCTGAAAGAAAAGTTCGTGATCAGGTACTGTATGTGTGTGTCGTTGTGGAAAGACAAACTAAAGCATTTAGATTGAAAACGTATACTTTTCCATGTATTTTGGCCTTGCGTCAACACGAAAACCATTGAAAGCGCATACATTTTAAATCGCACTCCAGAGTTGAGATATTTGAAAACCGGAGCCTAATTAGTGATGATAAATAATTTATAACGAGGGCCCGCGAGATTCTGCAAAAAAATATTATAAACTTTGTTTTTTGTTCCCTCAAAGGCATTCAAAGCAATCAAACTGTTTCTTGGAAAATTAGAAAAAGCATCAGAAGATCCGGAATCATTCATCAACAAAACTGGTTGGTATTTCATTACTAAATTTACATTCCTGTTATTTAATCTCGCCCTCCCCTCCCCGCCCGCCTCTCGCCCGCCCCCCGCCCCTGCTTTGCCTGCTCGCAGTCTCTCTCTTTGCAGTCCCAGTAAGCAACTCTTAGCTTGACTGATACTCACGATTAAGTAATAACATTTGACTTTACTGTGTACAGCTGCAGAACAGACCGCAGAGGATGCTGGGTCTTCCTGGACAGGATGGGCTATGACGTCACTTACATCAAAACTCTACAAAGGTGGACCAGCACCGACTGCAGGCGCTAACGAGTCATCGACACCTCCACCACCGGCAGCTACGGAAAAAAATCCGCCAAAAAGCAAAGGTAAAATGAAGTTCAATACTTTATTACCTTCTCAAAATGTTCCCTAGGGAAAAAAGGATTTCTTAAAGATTTTTTACGATTACGCATGTCAAGGAGAATTTGATTTTCAACAGGTCCCGAACAAGCCCGAGGGAATCCCGCACAACCACCAAAGAAATCTTCCCAGAAAAGCACTCCTTCCAAAACCAATCAAGGAAAAGTTAACGATGATTTTGATGAAGGATGGGATGACGACTGGGGTGACTCACAGGTACGTTTTCTTGTCTGTCTGTCTGTCTGTCTGTCTGTTTGCTTTGTCTGCCTGTCTATCGGTGTGTCAGTCTGTATGCCTACCTGCCTGTTTGGCTGGCTGATTGTCTAGTGGCTGACTACATGCCTGTCTGTGCATCTATCTGTCGGTCCATAGTCATTAATATATATTTATTTTATTAGAAGCCAAGTGGAATCATTAATGAGTTGAGGAACAATTTGATTACATGCCTGTCTGTGCGTCTATCTGTCAGTCCATAGTCATTAATATATATTTAT